ACTCTGGACCATTGTTAGACTGGAGAGAGACAAGGATCCCAAAATGGGGGATAATCTCCCAGAGGACAAGGTCAGAGACTGTGTGAGCCTGCTTATTAGTAACTGGAAAAGCCTTAACCCAGCCTGAGAAGGTATCCACTAGATAGAAAAAGGCTTGGATATAAGATAACTATTTCCATCTGTCCATTCACTGACAGAAGTTAGATAGCTCCCATAGAATATTGGGGTCCAACAAGCCATTAGGTGGCCATTTTTTATTGTTATATAATGGATATTTAGGCCATTTTTTTTAGCACAGAAGCAGATAAGCTTAGAAGTCTATAAGTAGGGCATTTAAGCTTAGAGGTTTGAGGGTTTCTAAAAGGCATCCCAGAGGAGATGTGGGGTTTATGGTATTGGAGGGCTTATTCCATGACTGAGGCAGGGAGAAACAAATGAGATGCAATAGCTTTAGTATCTCAGGCATCCCAGAGATTAAGCGAGGATCAATTAAGAATGGCGCAAATCACTCAGTGGTCTATCAACAAGCAAAGAGCAAGGGCCAGGGTCTTACCCCAAGGACAAAAGTCCAAGAGACAAGAATGAAAAAACGAGGCCTCAGACCTCAGTCGTGGAGAATGGCTGGGGGTGTTAGTCAGTGATAGGCACCGATTGTGGTCTTAAAGACCATGGACTGGGGGTTCCCCCACTTTTTGAGAACTTTTGGAATGCAGGATGGTCAATGGTCGCTTCCAAGGGTTTAAGAAAGTGTTTAGGCTGACCGGTAGAGGGAAAACTCACCAATCGAAGTATCCGGTGTTGTATGAAGTGATCCAATGGCTGGGCAGATGGAAAATGGGCAGTTGTAGATGAACCAACCTCAGTTCAGGATCCCAGTGCAGGGGTGCCAGGAGAGCCTGTTTGGTCTTGACACCAATGTTATTTACCAGGTGCAAGAATGGACCACAAAATACAACAAAATCCACTTTGAGAGTTTTATTAAAGGGGGCGGGGATAGGGAAGATGGGTGAGTGAGCAGGACTGTTGGAGAGGAAATGTACAGAAAGGGTGGGGGAATGGGTGGAGTCTGCTTTTAAGGATCACCTCTTGCATGTGTGTAGGGGCTTATGTAGCCACGCCGGGCATGTGCACAGATTACATGGCCACACTACTCATGGATTATGTAGGATGCAAGGCCCTGGAGTGACTAAGCATTTTGCCTGAATGCTAACAGCACATGCGCAGCCATGGGATTCTGGAAACAGTTAGGGTGTCGGGAATGGTAACACTTCTGACATTCATGTGCCTAATTGAGATGAAGGTGGGGAAGACCAGCTCTGTAGAGATGTCTGGGTACTCAGATCACAGGTGACAATCTCCTGCTGAACCAGCAAGCCCTGAACACCAAGTAGCCTGGCACCTAGTTGCTGTGACTTGTAGCTGAGCTTTTTGGAGCTATGTTTCCCAAGCCTGACTACACACTAGAAATCCCAGAGAACTCAAAAACAACAACAGTCAGGCTCAGCTCCTGAGACTCAGGTTTCATTTGTTTGGAGGTGAAGCCTGGGTGTTTGTGTGTCTTCAGCTCCCCAGATGAGCCTGCCTACAGCATGTTGAGGGCAGCATCTGCCAGCCTGACTTTACAGAGGCCACCCAGCCAGCTAAAGTCTGTCTACCTATGCTTCTGAGTTGCTGTGGCTGCTCTTGAAGCCACTCAACAGGTCTAACACCTGCTGGAGAAGCAGGAAGTCCCTAAGGGAAATACACTGAGGGCAGTAGACAGAGTCTAGTCCTAGGAGCCGGGGCATGGCTGGAGGAAGGAGGTGGCTCCCCTTTGGCTTGTCTATTGCTTCTATGTTGATACATGTTCAGTGTTGTTGTGGTATGTCCATGAACATTTCTACTATTGGACTTTGAGATGCTAATGACTGAATGAGTGGCATGTAGCAGCTGGTAAACCTGCAGTGTGTACTTGTTGAATGAATTAAAAAACAACCAACCAAACAAACAAACAACACCAGAACACATATTTGCTATGGTGGGGGTTGTTTTAGCAATGTCACATTCCTCTCCACCATCCCAAATCCTTATTCTCTGGAAATAAGGTCCTAGTATGCCCTGCCTGCAGGGCTTCAACGGGTTCTCGACCACCCTAAGGACGTCCCTAAGGATGGAATGATAGGGACAGGAGACACAAAGGAAATACACCAAGTCTAGATTCTGATCAAAGTGCAACTTTATTTTTCTCCAGGAGGGTTTATATAGTTCCTGCAGGGTGCAGGGAGCAAGAAGCTGTCGTCTGCATAAGGTGGGGCAAGCTAACAGGATGTTTGTATAGGATGTTTACAGGGTGAAAGGGTCAATGGCTCTGCCTCAATGTCCTGTTGCTAGGCAACCTGACTGTAAGATGATCTAGTTCCCTGTCTTATGGGGGGGGGGGTCTGTATTTTTCCACTAATTAGAGATTCTGTCCTTGTCCCTGACACTAGTACTTGTTCTAATGAATTATTACATAGTAAGAGGAGTTATTAGTCTTTGCTGGTGACTAGTGATGAAGTCAGTTGCCCCCAGCAAATCTGGAAGGGACATGTTAGGCAGGGCTATGTCTTTGTTGTGCCCCAGCTGACTTTTGGTGGGAACTCAAAAAAGAGTGCTTATTTCAAATTATATGTATATACTTGTACAGGACCCTGTGATATTCCTTGTAGTACAAATCTTGTGCCATCTCAGAATATTTGTGAGACCCTGTTGTTTTTAATCTAAGGTGTTCTATTACCAATAAAGACTTGGGAGTCAGATATTGGAGTGAAAACCTGATAGAACAAAGAAGTGGAGGAAGAGTGACCAGCTGACCTTCTTCTTTTTTTTTTTTTTAACTAGAGACCCAGCAAGTGCCTCTCTCCCCACATGTCTTAGATCAAAGAGAGCATGAAATCTCCAAGTCCCTCCCTACTCCTTCCTGTGCATCTTCCCTATCTGTAATCCTGGTTTCTCTATGGCTAATTCCGGTCAGTTAGCCACTGGCTCCATCCCCTGATTCAAGGTTAACTTTATTAACATAGTCTCGGGGTGTCACAGTGTGATCAAATATCCCGAAACAAGACCTCTCTCCCCATTCAATGGGATGTTTGTTCTAACATTCAGCAGTGTGGCATTTTCAGTGTATTGCTGAAATTGTTTTTATCCTCACATTGTTTTGGTGATAACTCGGTTGTGAGATTGTAAATCTCATGAAACAGTGATGTCAGAACAGTAGCTACTGTGAGAACACTCACAGGCAGATGTGGGGACTTAAGGAAATGCTGTTGTGGTTGCTCCAGGTGGTTCTTAAGAATTCTCCTCTTGATACTTTTGATTCTTGACCACATACTTGCCTACTGAATAACAAGTGTATGCTGCATGATGCCTGAGTGTCAAGCCCTACACTGGAGGATAAGCAACAGACAGAATATGTCCTGCCTTTCGAGAGCTTTCAGTGTGGTTAGCAAGGCTTCACACGAACAGAAGCAATAATGTATGAAGAGGAACCTGACTGTGTGATCGAAGCTCAGTGATCCATTTGTGCGTAAGGCCTGTAGCCCAAAGAAGAAGCCATGAGGACATGAATTGTGACCATCAACACTGTCAACTCTACAGTTTATCCTAAGGGATAAACCTCTGGACATTTCTGTGATGGAACTTTTAGGTGAGGTCAATTGAGGTAAGACTCACCCTGAATATGGCTGCACCATGCTGTGGGTTGGGGCTCCTGGACTGCTGAGCACCAGCATTCATCACTCTGCTTCCTGACTGTGGAAAGTGGTCTGCCGCTGTACACTACTGCCATCCATAACTGTCCCATCATGATGGACTGTCCTTTCGTACTGTGGACCAAAGTAAAGCCTTCCTTCTTTAAGTTGCTTTCGTCAGTTACAGCCATGAGACAAGAAACGAATAGCTACACTAATCAGGGAAAACGGAAAGTTTTGAAAGCTGAATGGCACCATTTCCGGGTAAGGAAGATGAGTTCCCGAAGAGCAGGGACCCCTCAGCATCTGCACATCAGAGAATGAAAAGAACTGTTTTCTGAAGACGTGCTTGTGCCTGGGCTTTGCAAGGAGAGCATGATTAGGGCCTTAGGGATATGCTGTGTTGTGCTGTCATGGCTGCTATATTGGAAAGGATGTGAAATACTCTGGAAGGATTGAAGTCACAGCAGATCATGGCTCCTGAGAGGGAGGAATAGGAAGCCCTGGGCTCCCAACCAGCAATATGCAGCCCAAACCAACTGCATCCTGAAGTTCATGGGAGGGAAACATTTTTCTCCAGTCTCAGGATTTAATGCCCCAGAACTAAGAAGCAATTTAGAGTCCAGAACAAGGAAATGGAATCCAAGCACTCCCTAACCCTTTCACCTCCTTAATAACCTTCCAAATTTAGTCTGAAGGTGAACTTCTTGAAGGTGAGCACAGGGCTCATCTGTTGTAGCCATTTTCTTGTTGATGTTGAGGTGGCTCCATTTTGGTCCACTGGGGACTTCTTCAAGTTGGTGCTTGACTAATTTTGATGGGAAGTGCCCCAGGACTTCAAATCAAGACCTCACTGCTTTTCAGCTCATTGCTTTTAACCTGTTCATGGTGTCTAGTTTCCCATCATAACTGAGTGCAAGGAAATGCACGTATCAACAACTGTTCAGTACATCTATTACGTCTCTCTCTGACATTTCTTTGTTTTGTGTGGGTTTGAATGGGGCCTGGGGAAATGCTTGTATGGAGATCTGAGGATGACCTTCAAGAGTCAGTTCTCGCTTCTACCATATGGGTCCCAGGGATTGAACTCAGATTGTCAGGCTGGGTGGCTTCACCAGTTGGAGCACCTCACTGGTGTGTCTTTGAAGTGCAAAATTTCCTTCTGGAGGTTTTTCTTTTATCCTCTGGTGTAGTCTCCTTTTAGTTTGGTTACTGAGTTCTTACCAACTCTCCAGCCCAAAGTCTCTGTGCCTTTCTTATCTTTTCCCACAATGTCTCTGCTACACTTTTCAGATGCTGAAAATCCCGGCTCTCAACACAACCAGTCCATCCCCGCATTTGCTTTATCTCCGAATGCACTGACCACAGCCTTGGAGTAGTAATTGCCGAGCAACTGCCAACAAGGTGATAACTGCAAACAACTCAATTTGTAATAGTGCTTTGTCCTGAGGTGACATCACACTGAAGGCTGCTCTTTGAGTGCTGTGGTGCCAGCTCATGGACTAGTCTCTCTGTGATCATTTTGCTGCCTTGGTTCTGGACTCACTTACACATTAATTTGCTGCACATTGCTTTAGGTTTGCAATGGCCTTTTAAAGTTCAGGTTTGGTGGCCCCTGTTTTGGGTAACTGTTGCCTTGCTTGCTGACCTTGACCTTGATATCCTCCCTATGCTAATTCCCTGCCAGGTTCCACCCTCCTGAATGCTTAAGGGAAGTTCCATGTCTGTGTATCCTGCATAATGGGCATTAACAGCTTAGATGCAAGATTGTAAAACATCGGTAGCGAACTTCTGCCCTCCAGGGTTCTCCCAATGTGCTGTAAGCCTGTATTTAAGACCTCTTCCCTCCTTCAATAAACAGCATTTGGCATTAAAAAAAAAAAGACTTCTATCCAGAAGTCCATCAAAATTCAGTAGTAGAGTGTGGGGGTCAGCAGAAGATGGAGTGGGGTGAGGAAGGACTAGAGAAGGACACAAGGTTACTTTGACGAGTGACAACAGTGTCTACTATCTTGGCTAAGATGATGTCTCACAAATGTATCTATGTATCAAAATTTGCCAAGTTACTTGTTTTAAAGATATTCTCATTTTTTATGTCATTCTACCTCAATAAAACTGTTTAAAAGTTAAAAAAAAAATCAGGTTTGGTGTAGTCAAGGTTTAGTTAAAGAAGGTTAGCTTCTATCCCAGCCTTCTTAATCCTCTTTCTTGTGCTCTCTCACCTCCCTCCTCCAACCAACCAACCAACCAACCAACCAACCAACCAACCAACCAACCAACTTCCTTTTTCTTTGTATAAACAAAAATTGTGTGTGTATGTGTGTGTTGTATGTACACATGTGCACATGTGTACCCATGTGTACCTGTATATTCATGTGTCTGTGAAGGCCACAAGTTGATACGAGGTGTCTGCCTCTATCATACTCCACATTATTATTATTATTATTTAGATAAGCTTTCTTTTTGAACCTAGAGCTCACTATTTTAACTAAGCTGGCTGTGCCGAAAGGCCCCAGTGTCTACCAGTCTCTACCCATGCTGGAGTTACAGACGTGTGCCGCCATGCCCGGCTTTTACATGGGTGCCGAGGATGTAAAGTCCTCTCCGCATACTGGCATTGCAAGCATGACGCACTGAACCATGTCCTCAGCCCCTGTAGAAGCATGTTTCAAAAATATAAGCAAATATTCTTTTCTCTGCTTTCTGAGATAAAGGTTACATACTATTCCTGATTTTTTCTCCATCTTGCTACCTTAATATATCACAGCACTATTTAAGACGTGGCATAAAATACAGACTCACAGTCTCTTATCTGTATGTGCCAAATCCTCAAATCGTCAGAACTCTAGAGGTTTATTATAAGCCTGCAGCAGACTCATTTATAGAAAAACTCAGATCTTAACATATGAAAACGCTGCCTCCATTTGTAACTTGCCAGCACGTTGATATGTTTTTGATGCTGATGTGACTCATATGTTTGGTTAGAGGCATAGCCTCGTGCCTCAATAGAAATGTTAAGTAGTAGGTGATATGTGCAGTGTCTCAGTTCTCGGGAGCATGGAAATGATGAATTCAGAGACGTATTTGGCTCCAAGCATCTCTGGGAAGGGCTCTGAACCTGTAGCAGATGAGTTGTTTATCAGTCACCTTCAGTCAGTCTCTCCCTGACTCTCATGTTCAGAGCATTTTTAAGGTTGGGACTACAGGACCAGCCAGATGGTTTATCAGGGAGAAATGCTTCCCACATAAGCCTGACAACCTGAGTGTGATTCCCAGAACCCATGCAAAGGTGAGAAGACCCAGTTCCACAGAGTTGTTTTCCGAGCTATCTAAGAACATGTCTCCCCCTTCTCCCCACCAAAATAAGAAAGAATAAAAGAATGAAACACAATTTGGATAGGAAGCACATAGATTTTTCTTTTTCAAGCAGAGTTGGGTAGCAGTAACCACCCAACTGTCATAAGAAGTAAAAAGAAGCCCCCTTTGTGTTCTCGATTATATCTTATTCCAACACATGCCTTTTCCTTGTGAAAGACTTAAGCATCTGCATGCTCTTGACAGAGGCCCTGGACTTCAGTTGAGGATGTCCTAGGACCATTTTATGAGAAGGATTTGAAAAGCCAGCTTGTTATTTTCTATGTGCTCCTGTCCCTTTGCTGGAGGCTGACCAGAATGAATTGGAGGTTAAGGTTGATTTAATGTCAACATGCCACAGTTAGAGTCATCTGAGTAGGAACCCAATCCTGAAGAACTGTCCTGGCTGCCATCATTTATGGGGAAGGTCCATCTGGATTGTGGATGGTCCCTTCTGGTATCAGGCACATAAAACGCCCATAGCAGGAAGAAGATGACTGCCTTTTGCTCTCACAGCCTCCTCTCCTGCCCGAGTTGATTCACACTGCTGCTGTTACTGCTGCTGCTGCTGCTGCTCATTCCTTTGGTGATCTCAGAACCGGGGTTTCCAGCATTGACTAAGGATCAGCAGCTCTCCAGGAACCTTGTGTGTTTGGGGACCCAGATTGAGACCTCCAGCCTGTGGATAGAACAACTGCTGGTTTGTCAACCTCCCTAGCAAGGGACAGTGACTTTGGATTACTCCAGATGCTTGACACCCAAGCATCTACCCGAGTTTCTGCTCTCAGAAGGATTCAGCTGATATTACTTTGTTAATGTAAACTGACTTAATAAATTATTTATATATGTGAATTCATCCCACTGGTTCTATCCCTCTAAAGAATCCTAATACAGGGGTGTAGCCAAGACGGTAAAATGCTTGCTAACCTTGTGTGAGGCCCTGAATTCAACCTCTAGTATCACATAAAACATGGCATGGGGTTGTGTGCCCGTAATCCTAGCACTTGGAGATAGCGTTAGGAAGGTCAGAAATTCAAGGTCATCTCAGCTCCCTGGTGACTTGGATGCCACCGTGGGATATATGAGACCCACTTCTCAAAAAAAAAAAAAAAATTTAAAAGAAGCCAAAAAAAGACTGGTGTCCAAGACAGGAACTTCTTTCTCAGCCTAGGTGTGAGATTGGAGGTGATGGCATTCAAGGCTATGGCTGCCCAGTGGTAGATGTGCTAGTGTGGGCAAGGAGTAAGTCTCTGCGGTTTGGGGCTGTTTGTGACCTTAGCGTAACCTAACTTCCTGACTGATAGCCTACCAGGGTTGTGAAGCCAATGCTTAGACAGCACAGGAGGCATGGGGCTCCAGACTAATCCCCAGGGTCGTCCTAGAATACAGCAGTTAAGGCTTTGATTTCCTAGGGCTCACCTTTGTTGTCAACTGATTTTTGATGTAGCTTAAGGATCTGATGTTTATGGGGCTCTTTGAGATTCTGTGTACATGGTAAGGACTAAGTACCTTGGCACTAGAGTCTTTAGATGTAGCAAATGTGAAGTGGTGTAAATTTACTCTCCCTATTTGACAAGGAGAACATGGGACTAAGAGATTATGTCACGATGGACAAATTTATTGGGTATTTAAAATTGTCTTGCTCTAATTTATACAGATTTTGAATGAAGGGTACATGAATAGGTTGCTTCTTTTTCTTCTCCAAAATAAGAAAATGGAAAGAGTCACTTTGTGGCGTGTGTGTGTGTGTGTGTGTGTGTGTGTGTGTGTGTGTGTGTATGTGTGCTACTCTCAGGATGGAATTTTATCATAGTTTTTTTTAAGGATTTAGTTATTTTAATGTGTACAAGTATTTTGCCTGCATGTGTATATTTGCACCACGTGTGTACCTACCTTCTACAGAAACTAGAAAAGATTTAGATCAGATCCCCATTACCAAAAGTACACATGATTGTGAGCCACTATGTGGGTGCTGGGAACAGGACCCAAGTCCTAGGCAAGAGCAGCAAGTGCTTTTAACCTCTAAGTCACCTCTCCATCCCAGAAGGGAATTGAGTATCATAACATTTTAAAAAATATTTATTTATTTTTATTTTATGTATATGAGTATTTTGCCTGTGTGTATGTGCTCCATGTGCATAGGGTGGAAACTAGAAGAACATTAGACCCCAGAGAACTGGAGTAATGGACAGATGTGAGCTACCATGTGGGTTCTGGGAAAATGAACTCAGGTCTACTGCAAGAGCAGTGGCTGGCTCCAACTCACTGTGGAGACCAGGCTGGCTTTGACGGATATTCACCTGTCTCTGCCTCCCATGTAATACAGACTCGACCAAGCTTCAGAGTACTTTTGATATATGCTCATAAGAATATGTTCAATTTGGGGATTGAAAGATCCCTTTAGCCTGAATTATATATCCCCAGGAACAAAAAACTGTGTCCAGAATGTTTCTATGGATATTGAGGAAATACTCATGGGAGATGGCATAGTAGGGCTTTGTTTAGTGTCCTCTGTCATTAAAGTGATCTCCAGCCAGTGTGTCATATGCCAGGAACGTCTTGCTTCTACTTTGTAAAGAAATACATTGTATATATGTACTAAGAATGCATAAGTATTTATTGAGTGCCTACTGTGTGACAGACATTTTAGAGCTCTTTGCCAAAGTAAGCACTTTGGAATAACTTCAGGTTTGGCATAAGATTCAAAATCATTGTGGATCCCACTCATAGTTCAAAACAGTAATAAACTATCAAAAAACATCAGCTTGGCTCAGCTTCAAACAATCTGAATTTAAAGTGTAAATTGAGAAGAAAAGAAAATGGAAGAACACCAACATGGATCCTGGATTGAGGGCTTATGGACCGGCGGAGGCCTTGCTTGACCCAGTAACTCTTGGGCAGCAGAAAGGCTGAGATCAGAGGGGTAAACCAACCAGCCTGGATCTCTTAAATCACTGATTGACCCTGGGAATTTTTATTACCAGGTAAAACATGTATTTCTTTTGCAGGATGATTATAGTATAGGTGACTATGGTGAGTCACACTCAAATTGATGTGGAGGCTGCAAAAATGCAGAAAATTCCTATGTTCATGTGGGGAATGTGTATATGTGTGTAGACCTGTGTATGGAGTCAGCAGGGCAACCTCAAGTATCACTCCATTTTGTTTTGTGAGACACTGGCTTGGAACTTGACAAGCAGGCTAGGCTGGTTGGCCACTGTTCCCAGATATTCACCAGCATTGGGATTACAAGTATGCACCAGCACACCCAGGTTTTTTCACATGGGTCTAGAGGTTGAACTCAGCTCCTCATGCTTGGAAAGGGAGTATTTTACTGACTTACATCTCGACTGTAAACTTGAAAACTGTCTTCTGTGATCATGGAGCATACATATTTACCATCAGAATTCTATTTCATTCTCTAGTGCTGACAAAACTGTAGGAAAAAAACCTTTGCTTCTAGCCTGGTGTCAGTATGAATTCATTTCCCCAGTTACCTATAATTTGAGGACAGCAGAATACCCTTTCCCTTCCATCAGCCTTTTCTCAGCTCGTAGATGTTTGAACAAGTATGAGAGAAATAAGTTCTGGCAAGCAATAACTTGCAAACACAGCTGTTTCCATTGTTTGGGGCTAAAAGAAACTAGCGTATGTTCAGTCCACCACAAGGAGAAGCCTATTGGCTGTTGTCAGGAAAGCGGGATCAAGGAGCAAGAATTAGCTCTCCACCCAGCCTAATCTACTGTTTATCATCTCCCTGCAGCAGCACGGAGCTATTAAAGACTGTTTTACACACAGGGCTCCAAAGACATGAAGGTACTTTTATGGGCTAGCACCAAATCAGGTAGGTCACATACATTGATATTACAAAATCTTTTTTTAAGGGGATGGGAAAAGAGAGAGTTAAAAGATCATGAATAGAAGCATGCTAATAGAGTAAAACCTCAGCCTGATGCCCATGGCCTGTGCCTCCCTCCTATCTCAAAGACATGTTTTACTCTGTGGTGAGGATGTGGCTGCAGAACCGCCATTGCTGGGGTCTGAGGACAAGGATGCAGAACCGCCGTTGCTGGGGTCTGAGGACAAGGATGCAGAACTGCCATTGCTGGGGTCTGAGGACATGGCTGCAGAGCCGCCGTTGCTGAGGTCTGAGGACAAGGATGCAGAACAGCCGTTGCTGGGGTCTGAGGACAAGGATGCAGAGCCGCCATTGCTGGGGTCTAGGGACAAGGCTGCAGAGCCACCATTTCTGGAGGCTGGGTCTCGGTACTGGAGCTCTAAGCAGAGTGAACTGACATTTGCCTTGAGGAGCTCTGGGGTAGGATGAGGCATAGTAAAATGCATGCAGTTCCAGACATGATAATGAAAAGTTGCTGACAAATGATGCAGAATGTTCCTAAGAACTGGGAACAGCTGAGGTTGAAGAACAAAGAACTATAGGAAATAATTCTACCACTTTTGGATTAAAAGCTGTTAATTTTTGATGATCTCAAAAGACTTATTGGTCCCACATTCATTCTCAATATGTTGGTTTTATATCATAACTCTAAGATAAATTACCATACAACACATCAGCTTTAACACAAAAAGCCAGGCATTGAGTACACAGTTGTAATCCAAGGACTTGGGTAATGGAGGCATGAGGATGAGGAGTTCAAGATCATTTCAGCTACATAGTTAAGTCAAAGCCAGCTTGGGCTATATAAGACTGTCTCAGAACCCACAATATTAAACAAACCCCACAATATCAGCAACAATCAAACATCTATTAGCTGACATTGATTCTGAGGGTTTTGAACCCAGATGTGGTCCACAGTGATTTCTTTTGTCCCTGAACAAGGTTTCTGATGAGGTTGCTGTCACAAGGCTGGCCACAGCACCTGTGGGCTTGCCTGGGTGGGAGGACCTGCATTTAACATCATCACTCATATCACCCTGGAGTACTGGTGTCAGTTCTCACCATGTGGCCCTCTCCACAGCTGCTGGACTATGTCACAGCCTAGAGCCAGTTCTCACCATGTGGCCCTCTCCACAGCTGCTGGACTATGTCACAGCCCAGAGCCAGTTCTCACCATGTGGCCCTCTCCACAGCTGCTGGACTGTGTCACAGCCCAGAGCCAGTTCTCACCATGTGGTGCTCTCCATAACTGCTGGACTATGTCACAGCCCAGAGCCAGTTCTCACCATGTGGCCCTCTCCACAGCTGCTGGACTGTGTCACAGCCCAGAGCCAGTTCTCACCATGTGGCCCTCTCCACAAATGCTGGACTGTGAGACAGCTTGGAGCTGTCTTCTGGAAGCACCACCTCTCCTGGGGTTATTAGCCACAGGCCTGTTAGGATCTATTCTTGGAAATTTCTCAGGTTCTTTCCTCAAAGCATAAGCCACACTCAAGTGAAGAGCATCAGGCTCTACCTTCCCATATAGTGCGTTAGAAAAGAACCTACGGCAATATTAAAATCATCATAATGTGCCAGAGGGGAACAATTCTCTTTGTGTGGCAGAAGGCTTTCTGATCATTGTTGTTTGTCTGTTTATTGTCTATAGTTTCCCACTGATAATACTAACAAAGGGCCTCCTCTGAGATGTCAGATGACTAGGAAAGGATAAATTTTTGGTTATTTTAAGAGAAATTGGGTTTTCCCAATAGATTTAGCTATGTTTGGTTCTAGTAAATGCCACCAGGAACTGTAGACACGTCCGTCTGAGCCACACTATTTGCTCACATACTTAGACTGTTTTCACTGTTCACGTGCAATAGCTCCTCTACTGTCCCTTTTCTTTTTTGACTTTTTAAAACAAGTTCCTCTTTCGTTCCCTTTTCTCCCCTTTTCCTTCTTCTTTCCTTCCTTTCCTT